CTTTTTGAAAATTCAATAAAAAATTGATTTTATTGTAAAAGAAAGTAGACTATAATAAAATTAAAATAAAATGAAAAAAAAACGTTTCATATGTACCTATATAATATATGTATAAAGTAATATAATATTGTATTAAATTAAATACCACAAAATAAAAGGAAATAAAACAATAACAAGAAAAAACGGTTGCTTGTATGACAGCTACATATATGCTATAGTCCTCCGATCTGAATAATTTCTTCGGAGACTACACTCTTTCCAAGGAAAATAACCTATGCCAAATTTCTCAAATATGTCTCATCAAATGAAAAAGTTTTCCATATAAGCACTTGATTCCGATCCTTCAGTTTGTATGGAAACTATATGATATGGTAGTACGATATCAGCCATTTGCAAAAAGTTAGCAACTCCTTCTTGAGAAAATAACGGATGAAAAATTTCAGTTCGATATCTCAAAAACTGAAGGCCTGGTTCGTATATGCGTATACAGACAGACGGGCAGACGGACGGGCAAACGGATAGCTCAACAGGCTGATCATTTATGTATACAATTTATAGAGCAAATTTCAATAATTTCGACTCATTGTAGGATCGTATATCTTTCCATGATGAAATGGCAAAACTTACCGAAGAGAAATATCAAAAGAGTGTATATAGCGTCGTTTGCTGTCCCTATCGGTCCTCTTTTGTATTTCCCTTTTGAAAAACCCTATACATACATGTATAGTAAAAGATATATGGAAATACTATATATTCCTATAATTTTAATACAAACACACAATGACAAATTAATCTTAAACTTAAAATATAGAAAACTGAAGTAAAAAATACAACAATTTTTGTTTAATACTTAGATAATAATAAAAAATTACAAAAATGATAATAATGTTTTCGAAAATGAGCATTGTTTAAATTTTTTAATAAGCCACACATATTTTGTGTATGTAGATAATAATGATGAAATGCGCAAAATTTAGTACATGCAAATTTTGCCATATAAGGAGATATTTTATGTCCGCAAAAAAATTAAAGCAAAAGTTATCAATAAATTTGTTACACATTTCGATCGATAACATGACGTCAATCGAATTTGATGAGTTGCCCGCTGTCATAACTGGGAGAAGCATTATTGAACGAGAAAAGAAGCGCGCCTTTTTCTGCTTTTTGTGAAAAAAACAACAAAATATATAGAAGAATAATAGCTTTTATCGGAAATATCAAAAAAAAAAAGTGTAATTTTATAACTTTAATTTTCTTCTCATGCTGGCTATCATCAAAAGAATGTTTTCCAAAAAGCTATGCTGACCTTGCAGCCACATCGAGTTTCTCAGAGCGAATACAATACATTCTTCGTACATATAACTATGTATATAAAATTATGTATAAGTAACTAACATATAATATGCATGTATCAAAATGTATCTATATATGCCAATATAGTATCTAAAAACATAATAATTATCGCATTTTCCATATTGATTTGATCGATCTACTCCAGTTGCTCATATCAGCCGAAGTCACATTCAAAAATTATATCTATTTGTCATACATACATACATACATACGTTTGTACCCTATATACCCTACAGAGAGTTCAACTGGTTCGATATTTCAATTCTGGTTTCATACAATCAGGCCCACGCACACGCTTTTCTGAAACTGAATGTGAAATGGAAAACCATATAGTTATACATTTTTCAGCTGTTGCTATACTAAATCTCGGCAGTCATAACTTCGGGGAACCTGGTGAAATACCCGCCTCAACAATTTTGTGGCAAGCTCAAAATGTCTTGTCAGTTTTCGAAAGTTTTTCCGATCAATACTTTCGGAGTGACATAATGAACCAGCGTTCTCCACTATCCAAGTGCGATCTATTTCTAGATCGACTATTTAACCTAATCTAACCTAACCTAAATATTAACACACAATTATTAATTAAACTTTTTCTTTAAATAAATACAACAGCTCTTGGGCCCAACGAATCAGTAGGTGCCTCAACGGAAGTTATGGCGGATCCTGACTATAGTACTGTTTCTACTGTAGAGTCAACTATTATAGGGGCAGCTGCTGTTACTGATGAGACAAATACTTCTGCTTCTAGTAATCCGACCACTATTGCTTCTAATCCTGATGAAACAACCTCGGTTGCTACCAGTGAGGCAACTACTGTTGCTGAGGAACCAACCACTGTTGCTACTGATGAAACCACATCGGTATCTTCTGCTACTACTCCTATTACTGTGGAGTCTACCACTGCCAAACCTGATGAAGCAACCTCGATTGCTACCAGTGAGGCAACCACTGTTACGGAACCAACCACTGTTGCTACTGATGAAATCACATCGGTATCTTCTGCTACTRCTACTATTACTGTGGAGTCTACCACTGCCAATCCTGATGAAACAACCTCGGTTGCTACCAGTGAGGCAACCACTGTTACTGAGGAACCAACCACTGTTGCTACTGATGAAACCACATCGGTATCTTCTGCTACTGCTACTATTACTGTGGAGTCTACCACAGCCAATCCTGATGAAACAACCTCGTCGGCTACAAGCGAAACCTCCTCTACTACTCCTGGTAACACCACAACGGTTTCTCCGAGCGAAACCACGCCCAACACTGATGAAACAACGGATGCAACAACCAATAATACGGATGCCTCAACTGCAACTCCAGATACCACCCCCGTAGAGAATGGAAGTACAAATCCACCATCTACAGAAGCGCCACCTGGTGAGTATCGCCACACACAATTTCATTTCAATTCGAAATTTGTTTATAAAAGTTAATTAAAAGGATCTTATGGAATCATGTTTTATGCCCAAAGCTTATTTAATGTACGAAAGTATAATATTACTTTGTTGTTTAATGATTAGAAACAATATTATATTATCGGTTTTAAGTCAAAAGAAAATGAAGAAAACGTTTCACTGCCATATCTGAAATAGAGATTCAAACACTACACATTTGAATGTGCAGATGGCGCTAAAAAATTATAGCCCCTGATTCTCGTCACCGCGCTTCACAACAATTATGTCAGAATACTCGACTTGTACGTACTTTTCTTGGGTTAGGAAAGACACAGATTTATTTATAGGAACATACAAACACTCCGGAATGAAGAAGCTTCATAAAAACTGAGCCGTTTGAGGGCACTTAAAATTTGCACGAGCCCTACACAGTTACAGATGCCTTTTTAAAGAGAGAAAGTACTTCGTTTGAAACAAAAAATGCATTCTAAGCTGACCTAATTTCGCCTTCTTTAACTGTCACAATTTTCAACTTAATAAATTAGAGATCCATCTATATTTTTCTAAAATAAAATTATTTTATTCCAGCTAATAAGCTTCAATGTTATGCATGTGAGGGCGACGATTGTGATGAAAAGACTGTGATCAACTGTCCGGATGATGGCAGAACTTATGATGTGGAGGACATAAACAAGAGTTTGGCGGAGAAAGCAACGGAAATTCTTCTTGAAAATTATCGTTCAGTTGCGCGATTGGACCGCGCCGATGTGAAGGGTTATGCTTGCTACAGAGTGCAGATTACAGGTAATGAAAATCGCATTTTTTAATTTTTATTTTAATTGGCTAAAACTAACGGATTTCACTTCTCTTCCACTTCTTCTACTTCAGATAATGATGACAAGACATTGAAACTTGGATGTATTGCCATACCTTATGGCCAAAGCGCCTGTGAGGCTGTGCGGAACAAACTGAATATAACGACAACAGCTGTTAGTGACGAATGTTTGGCGTGTCAAACTGACTTATGTAACGGTAGTGCAATAGCAAATTTATCTGTAGCGGTACTTTTGTCCGTATTGCTGGCAAAATTTCTATTTTAAGTGATCAGTAAAATAAATACTTTCTACTTAATTACGCTTTAGTTTAATTTTATATTCAATGTATATTTAAACACATGTATGTAAATATATTTGTAAGTTTTATAACTTAAAAAAAAAAAAACAACACTAAACTAAATTATCAGCAATTGTGTATGCATGAGTGAAATATACGAATTCTTGTAAATAACAGTATTTATTATTGTGCATGTTATCTAAAATAAAAAAGAAACTGAATTGAAATTTGGCATTGTATTTTTGCATGAAAAAACTTTGAGAACTTTGGAATGGCACAGGCATAATATTCTTCAAAGTGCTCACTGTATAGTATGCAAGAAATTTTGTACAATAGCCGGACGAAAGGCTCTACATCACAAGCAGCAGCGATTAAAGACCGAGTTACCAATAACAACTTTTGAATACTTGGATGCATGTTTTGGTGTGCCCTTCATACAGACCTTGGATCTGCCTGATACATAATCAAACTAGTTAAATTTTAACTGAATATGACATAAATTTATGGAAATATTTTCAATTAGAATAACTTTTATTGAGGTAATGAACTGGCTGATGAGCTCGCCCGCTTCGCAACATCCACTAACATGGAGGACCTCAATCCTTTTTGGGGCGGTGTATTCTCATATCATAAAGGTTCTATACCGCAAGGAAGATGGAGTAGGCAGAGAGAGGTATTGGGTAAAAATTTCAAGGCATGCGCCACGCCAAGTTGTCAAAGGCAGATTTAAATATGTAATCAATCTCCCTGGGGACAAACTCAGTATATTCATTCATTCATACTGATCAGTATGTCACATTCTACACTGGCCATTGTAAGCTGAAGATATACTTAAAGAATAGCAGTTGCCAGACGCAGGATACAGGCCCTAGCATCTTTGTTTCTGAGTCTTTGTGATTTAGGAGAGGCCACAACAGGCCTAAGATCGCAAGATAATTCTTGTCTTTTTTTTTAATATTGCTTGCTTCTATTAAGACCGCGTAGGCACAGCTACGAACATGATATATTTATGTTTTTGTATTATATGTAATATATTCACGAATATAAACCTAACGAGTCCTTAAGAGAATATGCGATATTTTTAATTTTGTTGTTTTTTCCAGGGAATGTTGCAAAAATTCATTCAGCATCATCATTGTGTCTTCACAGCAATGGGCGCAGGTCACTAAAAAACTGTCCTAGTTTGCACCGTAACCCACCCTGCATCCAGATCCTTTTTTTGTCCATATTATCATGTATATTTCCCAAAAATATCCGTGCCCGAATAACATCTATGTGGTGTTAAACACCCACCTAGCCGTCTATCTACCGTGACGAACTTGCTCCTAACGAGCTGTTGATTGTTTCAAGGTATCTTTCTTTTGCTGCTAACATTTGTACCTTGTTTCTTCTGCGTCCACATTACATCTTTGGTTCAAATGCTAGTATATTTGATATCTAATGTACTTCATAAACTAAAATAATATTTTTATTAATATTTAATTTAATATGCTTCACGCCATTACCCATTGTTTTATCCCAAAGCACGTACAATTTTTATGCACACAGCACACCCTGTGCCTTGTATAACAGTGTATAACACAGGACAGTGTTGGTAATAAAAACTGCGCCCAGATGCAAATATATGGAAAAAAAATTAGTAAACTAAATTGAAATTTACAAGCCACTTCCATTGACAATCGTTTTCCACAACTATACCATGCAATATCTAATGATAACGCAACCGATGTGCGATAAGATTGCGCCAACCTGCTGAATATTGAAATTTTAACTGAAATGTGCAGAGTTCAGTAGCCGTATAGCGGTATAAGTGAACGGAAGTGTCCGAAAATAAAGTGAAAATTACATTAAGTGTTTAGAAACGAGTTCTACTGCTAGCAATTGAAGTAGTGTTAGTATAATATAATAAAACATACGAATAAAACAGTGCCTTCAATATGATGTGGCATAACAATAAATTGTTTATAACTATTTTTGCCGTTTCACTGCTGCTTGGCTACGTAGCTGCACAAGGTGATAATAGATAAAATACTGTAGTGCCTTTTTAAACAATTTAGAACAATTACTACTGCAGTTACCAAATTATAACAATAATTAATAGAATTTAAAAAACAATATTTTTTTCTACTTTAATTAGATATTACTTGCTATAGATGCTACGACGCAGACAGCTGCTTGAAAAACATAGAGGCCACTGATATAAAAACATGCTCGGGAAAAACTTGCTTCACACGAATTAACGGTATGTATTGGTGTATATAAATGTATTTTCACGAAAGTAACTAGTGTTAAAAGTATAATAATTTATAATAATAATTAAAATTATATTGTTTTGGATTAAAAGTTTTACACAAGTATGTATAATAAAGCTGAATCAGACGCTCATTGCATTAGCTATTATACTATATGTGTGGAGGTATGTAAAAATTACTACAATTGAACAGCTATTGGCTTATCTAACTAAATGAACTGTCACGAAAATAGTCTAATAAATATATGTATATATTCTATGAAAAAGTATATTTTGCGATAAAACTTATCGAAACACTTGTATGTAAGTGTACTGTAAGGCCTGCGGAAAAATTTCCCCTTTTGCAGAAAACACTTTGAAGTTACTGTTTGATGAGTTTCTTTGTCTTAAACTGACAATTATATGAAAACTTTATGTTTTCGAAAATAGAAAATTTGTTTCAATTATTTCAAAATAACATAAAAACTTAACTTCACTCAAAAAGAAAATCGAAATGAGCTTACATTATAATTAAAAAAATATTTTTCAATTAAAAAAATCGTTTTCATTACGTACCACCCTAGTGCTTCCACTTCTTCTAGACAAACAGCTAGCGGCAGTATGTACAAGCAAAAAGAAGTGCCGGTGTCACTCACCAACAGTGAAGATAGACAGTTAAGCCTTCATATGTCACATGCATTTGTATGTATGCATGTGTATGCGTGCTTGAGTATACTGCGAATTCATTAGAACACCTTAGGACTTTGCGAAGTAGCAATGACAGAAATATCTGAAGGAAGCGTCCTGTGTGCGTTGCGAAAAAGTATGAGAAATGTCTAGTGACCATGATTTATTTGATTTGCACCCTCAACCAGCAATCGTCTAAGCACGTACCCTTCACTTGCCGGCGTTCGTGCCGATTTCTGCAGAGTAAAGCATTCCTTGTGTGCTTGTATCTTTGAATATAAATGCATACATATGTGTATATGTGTATGTGTGTGTGACGTTCAGGTGCGTCAGCACATATTCATCTTCGAAATGTGGCAGCCAACTTGTGTGGAAATTAAACTCATTTTTTCGTATCAAGAATTATTTACGCCTTCTTGCCATTTCTGCTCTCGATTTCAAGCCACTGAAATTCTTACTTCGCCTGTTTTTGTTTTACTTAAATTACGTAATAAGTATGAGTTATTACACTGTCTGCATTGACTGTAAATTTAAAAATAATTTATTGTAGAAAATGTAGTCGGCTTGCYTGAGGCAATTGTGGCTACAGAGTGCTGGAGTGGAAAAAAATAACAAATAAGAGCCGTTTTAAAAGATTACGACACCATGTTCTTGCATATATGAGGTTTAAGGAAGTTAATAAGTTATCATATATTTGGTATTTATCTGAATATGTACAACTAGAAGTCAACGATTACTCTACAGATACAGATATAACAACAAAAAGCTTATACAATAGCGTTGATCGTCATCAGTTTCGATTTGAAGTAACCCAAATATTATTTTTGCAAACTGCCATTCACTAAAATAGTTGTTAAACTAATTAAATATTTACAATTTACAGATTGAAAGCTTCCTCCTTAAAAGCAAAAAAAATATTTTTTAATCCGAAAGTGTTGTCCCAACTCTAAGTTTAACACTGAGGGATATTGTCCAGGCTATAAATTTGGTTGCGTGCGTTAATAAGTTAGCAATYAGTTGATGAATTTTAAGTAGAGCCAGAAGAATAGCTCGCTTTGAAACACTGTTAGCTTCTTTACTGTAACACAGAATT